CACAAAAAATTTTGGTTCATGTAATATTCCTTGACTTCGTAAAAGCCTTTAACACTGCACATCATATATTTCTCATAAAGAAGGTTGCAAAGACGAGTTTCATCGACCCAATTTTATTTTGGCTACGAGGTAAAAACAAAGTGCACACGAACTGGAAGTTCGAAGACAACTTGAAGCAATCACCCCAGAGTTGTCCCTAACCGGACCCCAACTTGAAATACACAGACTTATTGCACAATTTCTCTTCAAGAAGATACGAATCCATTAGGTTGAGTACAGAGACGAGCAACTAAGTGGGTGATAGAGCTGAAACACAAATATAATGAGGACAAACTGAGCATTAGGAATCACTCTAGCTTAGCTACAGGAGGTGATCTGGTAAAAGGAATGCAACATATTACGTACACTGAGCAAACCAAACACGAGCATATAAACAAAACACCATCACCATGCTACTCAAAGCAACCCTCCGTCTATTGCACTGCAAAGAATAAATATTCAGAAACGCACGTACCCACACGTGGATAATCATCGTCCTTTTGGACCAGTTGTTTCCAATGTATATCTCATAAATTACTGAGATTATCACTACTGCAACACCGACAACTACTTCCCATCTCTCACCGTTTCCTTCTTACCCTTTTAACTCCGACTTCTTACACATAACCAATGATACAGATAATTTATTTATTCTTGAAACAGTTGTCTTTTCTTAGCACTTGAATCATCACTATATTATCTTTACCTTACAACCAATCAAACTCCTGCCTGGTAATGCGATGGATGCTGGTATCCAGAAACCCTACTGCTCTAAGATAAACACACACGAATGACAAAGTGGACGAATCCACAAGAAACTGAAGATGCCACAGATATTCGAAGTTTGACAACGCTTCAACCAGTAACACCTAATATGAAGCGTACCCACCAAGTGAAATCAAAAGACGGAAGCGAGGAGGTTCGAAGATATATTTGATGGGCAACCAATATATCGAGGATCGTCTGATCTAATCTGGCTAGCGATTGCAGTAGATGTTGAACACGGCGTTCCCACACGTGATCTGTTGCGGATGCATGACCGAGCACCTCCAGCTAGATGAGTCCATTATAACTAATGTGGTCAGCATCCAATGTCGAAAACTTAGAGCTATTTATTTTGGGGATTTGTTTACCGCTACAGATCACTCTCTTCCCTCTAGTGGGAAGTGATGACCCTAAGACATGGCCAGCCAGAATTTTAAACCCAACGAGTTTGTCGTTGGTAAACACTTTTCTAATAGCTTGCTGTGCTTAGCAGCGTCTGGTTGTCTCTCCTTACTATAAGGGACCATGAAGTGCAATGTAGTAAAAAATGAAAAAGTACGATGAAAATTTCGGTTCCTCGTAAACTTCACCGTTCTTTTCCAGCCGTCCTGGAAAAGAAAAATAGATATGTAAGTGCATGTCGAAATACACTCGTACGCGCGTAAAAACACAAAGCGGGCGAAAAAATGGAAAACAAACTCACACACACGTAATAGCGTAAAAGAAGGATTTTTATAATATGGTTTTTTGTTTTGTTTTGAAATAAAAATAAAAATATATAAGCATATTAAAATTGGGTTTTTTTCTTAAATTATATATAGTACAAGGGAAAATCGAGACTATATAAAATGAAAGCTTGTATCTTACGTGCAGTAACCGTTCAAATGTTCTGGAAATCTTACTCTTTATCCAGAACGCGTTGTCTTAAGTTTATTTTCTGATACCGTCGAAGTATCATCGTCTGTGTAGGCCGTTGTTTGAGGTATTATAAGTGTTGGAGTCGAGTCGTGCGATTGTACTGAAGGAAAATCGACGTGAATAGGATTTCCTTTTAAATACACTGCTTTGAGGCGATCGATGCTGATGCTGTCGTTGTTTCAAGTTTATTTTCTGATACCGACGAAGTGACCAAGCAACTCTAGCCAGATGAGTCCATTATAACTAATGTGGTCAGCATCCAATGTCGAAAACTTACAGAGCTATTTATTTTGGGGATTTTATTGTCCTTACACTAGACTATTCTGCAACATCTCTCTTTTATCTTGATAACAAGATTTTTGCCGAGTTGTCCATCAAAATATAGATGCCCTCGTTTCATAAGTTCAATCATTGAACGTTAAATGATTGAGGACGAAAAGAGGGGAATGATAGATTATGGGTATCAATCGATCAGTGATTTAGTTGGTATTGTTTTACAGCTTATTTTTATCTGTTCTGTTAAATATATACAACATACTACAGGGTAACCTGTCTGCCATGTTACAGCAGAGCAAGTTGATAGAAATTTCAGTCAGTCAGTCAGAAACAACGTGGAACTTCGTACGTACATTATATAAATCTAATATGGACTTGCGTACGTCCAGAAATCACACCATCTTCATTCAACCCTGGCATATGGAGACTATTAACTGACAGAACAAGTAAGAGCATTTTAACGATAATGGTACATCGGCTAAGATTTCCTTAGCCGACTTGCATATATATAGATATATATTCGTGCTTCGGTTTGGGCACCCGGGCAGTATCACAGCCCTCACACTTATCAAATGAGATCTGTGTGGCGCATATGTATTTGGTGCCTCCTTGTACCAATATCTAAGTGTTGAAATAATAAAATTATATATATATATATATATATATATATATATATATATATATATATATATATAGTCTTAAGGAGTGAGAGCATGAGATCCAACAGGAATGTATATGAATAAGTTTCCATTAAGCAAATACAAATAAATTATTTCCTTGTGAATTCAAATACGCATCTAAGGGATCTGTGATGAAAAGGACGAGCCCCCTTAGTAACCTAAGATAGTTATTTTGATACTATTGATTTCTTTATTTCAAACCTACATAGTATTTAAGGTACCTAGAATTCTTAATTGGTAACAATATCTAGAATACGGCTAATAGGATTTAGCTGTTACTTTGTGGCAAATGTTTTTATATTTTCAAAAATAGTCCAAAACTACCACGGCTTTCATGGATCTGTCTTTCACTAGTGACGGTTTAAGTCCATCTTCTAACAAGGTTGGGACACCACACGTCTTTTTCCTCAAATCTAAGCACAAAAGCATGCGTTTGGCGTATTCAGCTCACGATACATCTTGCTTCGTCCCTAGTTCTGGACTGAATTACAGATGTTTTCGGTTCTCTTGATATTCAGATTCACTTTCATCGGTACCCGAATAGGTGTTTTATATCCATTGCTTTTATGATAGAGGTTATAAACTAGTCAATTTTCACACATTAGCATCAAGATGTTGGGGAACAGTACCATATAATAGGTGGTTTTCAGAGATGTTAGTCCAGTCAGTCAGCTATGATAGTTCTGGAACATTTGGTAGTTATCCCTGACTTATATCTATCAAATGAGAGTGAGTGGGCTCATAACTGGTTGAGATATTTACTGTGAATGGCTACCAATACACCACTGGATATTCATATGGCTGACCATATTCGGCTTGTAGTAAGAGGAGTAGAAGAACGAAGTAAAGATGACGAGCGAAAGAGGAATATAAATAAATGGAAGGTGATTATGTGGATAATAAATACAGATATGAAATAAGTGGAGATGTGTGGCGTTCGTGTGAAATAATGATTGTTTTGTACTTGATTCCCGGTTGATCTCGGATTTTAAATACTGTGCGTGTGTTTGTGCTTACCTAGTTCTATTCGGCTTAAATTGCACTATTTCGGGAATCCTCATTTGATACAAGGATTCGAATACTTATAATTATCATAAGATGTCCAATGGAGTGAATGGTATTTAAGTTAGTGAGCGAGATATGGTCTTGCCCCACATATTTGCAAAAGTGTAGTATATTGGCAAGCTTTGGTGATTGTTAAAATAACCCCAATGAGTATTAGCCTATTGTTACCTATCGAAAAATAGTTGTGGTAAACGAATATCTTAAGACAAAAGCGATGATAATGTAAAAGAACACAGATTCTAAAGGAATACTATGTCAAATGAAGTTTTCCCACAATAAATAGAAATAGTATGATTAAATATAATATTACCAACTATGCCTACCCTAAGAAACACGAATAACCAGTACTAGAGTCAGAGATAAAACTGTGTACACTTGAAGTTATTGTATTATAACTCCAGTTGATAGCTCAGTATTCTACTAAATAACCATTATCAAGTACAATACACTTTTAGATTCCTCCATCATTTGAAAAAAATAAATAACAGTATGTTAATTCGTTAGCATGAATACATAACAGATGTCTTCTTGAACCGGTACAAAGACTCAAGTAGTTCTCTAGGAGTCCTTAAACTGTCTCTGGTTGTTGTTTCACTGTTAAGACAGACACTGAACTTATGTTATATACAATCTGCATAAAAAAGATTAAGAACCCGATATGCCTAACGCCGTAATTATTACTGTATGACGACAAAAGGAATTCCTCTTTATAATTTTAAACGTTTTATGCACTAAATAACAAGTTATGTTATGTGCCTTTAGATAATTCATAGCAAGAGTGACAGTACTTCCAAAATACGATGAGTTCATTGCTTTCTCTTAGAATACATACAAGTTGATTAGTTTATATACTTCAAAAGGATCAAAATAATTTTCAGTTTGAAAAACAAATTGTAAACCAACAACGAATAAGACCAAGATCCCGTTTGTACATGCACTTCAAGACTCTATTTACATGATATTATTTGACAAGAAATGAAGAGTCAATCGATATCTTTGTTCTAAGGTTTCCGAGTTATACTTCCAAAAGTTTCAGAATATATTGATGTTTCGAGAATTTGATCCAAGTACGACTGGTATTGACTGAATAACAGAAGATAAAATCTGACTTTCAGAGTGATGGAGTCAATACATATACAAAAACAGAATAAACTCTGTTAGATACTTACTAGATTTATTCTGAATAATCAAAAGATTAAACAAAGTTGAAAAAGCCAGACCAAGATCATTGGTCATATATCTACTGTCTAGTTGTTACGACTGATCAAAAACGCACATTGGTCGTAAATGTACTTTATTTAACCAAAACAGACTCTTACACAATATAGCTTATATTTTCATGGTTTTCCTAGTCAGACGATAGTATAATGTAAATAAATAGAACAACAGATCATATCATCAGCAAACTATTTGTATTGGTAACCGATAAGGTCGTGTCATACTCAACAGTTCTATTGCTAAAGATTGCTCATCTTCGGTTTTTCACTACTCTTGATTATTTTAACCAGTAGGCTTTGCGGCATTACAACAAATGACCTACATTTGATAAATTGAGTGTAGGCACAAATTTTCATATTTTGATAAACTGATTTTTGCTAGATCGATGAACTGAGTACCCACACCGGTTACCAAGCACTACGGGACTACAAGTCATGATATTGCTCCACTCCCTAAGAACAACCTCTGAATTAATTGTTTACAAAGGAGGAGGAGTCTTCTGAGGGAACTGCCTATCTCTGTTCCAGGCGGATAATTCAAATATTAAAACAAAAGTCTAATTATGATTATAGAGTTACATGGATAGTAGTATGAATATAAATACATGTTTATCCAATTCATCTTAATTTTATGAAAATTTGTAATAAAATGCTGACGTTTATTCCATTGATAAGGATGATAATGATGATTTACAGTGCTCAGTCATCAATCAGTCACCAGCTTCATCAAGTCCCTTTGGAGAAAATAAAACACAATAGAATAAATAATTGTTGAATTTTCTTCACAAATGTATAGATAGAAATAAAATACAGAAAATAGTTGTAATAGAATAATATGAATTCATAGTTATTTCATGGTTTGCACTAGGTTTTTCCAACTGTATTCATATTTAACGATAACATTCTATTAAATGATAAACATTGGTGACTGAAAATATTGAAATGATAATAATTACCAGTACCATATATATATATATATATATATATATATATATATATATATATATATATATATATATATATATATATATATATATATATATATATATATATATATATATATATATATATCGCAGTACTTACTTACTTACTTACGCCTGTTACTCCTCGTGAAGGAGCATAGGCCGCTCACCAGCATTCTCCATCCAACCCTGTCCTGGGCAATCCTTTCAAGCTCTTTCCAGTTCTTATTCATCTTTTTCATATCTGCTTCTATTTCCCGACGTAATGTGTTCTTTGGCCTTCCTCTTTCCCGCTTCCCTTCAGGATTCCAAGTTAGCGCTTGTCTCGTAATGCAGTTTGATGATTTCCTCAATGTATGTCCTATCCATTTCAATCGTCTTTTCCTAATTTCCTCTTCAGCTGGAAGCTGGTCGGTTCTCTCCCACAAAAGGCTGTTGGTGATGGTATCCGGCCAATGGATGTTGAGTATCATGCGTAGACAGCTATTAATAAATACCTGTACCTTCTTGATGGTGGTTGTTGTAGTACTCCAAGTTTCAGCTCCGTACAGTAGAACTGCCTTGGCGTTCGTATTGAAGATTCTGACTTTGATATTGGTTGAAAGTTGTTTTGAGTTCCATATGTTCTTCAGTTGAAGGAATGCCGCTCTAGCTTTGCCAATCCTTGCCTTGACGTCTGCATCTGAACCTCCTTGTTTATCGACGATGCTTCCCAGGTATGTGAAGGATTCTACATCTTCCAGAGTTTCGCCATCAAGAGTGATTGGATTGCTGTTCTCCGTGTTGTGTTTGAGGACCTTGGTTTTCCCTTTGTGTATGTTGAGGCCTACTGATGCAGAGACTGCTGCTATGCTGGCTGTCTTTATCTGCATTTGTTCGTGTGTATGTGATAGGAGGGCTAGGTCATCTGCGAAGTCCAAGTCGTCTAATTGGTTCTGAGCTGTCCATCGTATGCCGTAGTTTCTCTCAGATGTCGAGGTCTTCATAATCCAGTCGACCACCAGAAGAAACAGGAAGGGAGAGAGTAGACAGCCTTGTCTTACTCCGGTCCTTACTTGGAATGCGTCTGTCAGCTGTCCTCCATGCACTACTTTGCACTGTAGTCCGTCGTATGAGTTCCGGATAATGTTGACAATCTTCTCAGGAACTCCGTAGTGTCGAAGAAGTTTCCATAACGTCCTCCTATCTACACTGTCAAATGCCTTCTCATAATCAATGAAGTTGATGTAGAGTGACGATTTCCACTCAATTGATTGTTCGACGATGATCCGTAGTGTCGCAATCTGGTCTGTGCACGACCGGTCCTTACGGAATCCAGCTTGTTGATCTCGAAGTTGAGCGTCAACTGCGTCTTTCATCCTGTTCAGTAACACTCTGTTGAAGACTTTACCCGGTATTGACAGTAGTGTAATGCCTCTGTAGTTTTCACACTTGCTCAGATCTCCTTTCTTTGGAATCTTGATGAGGTGTCCTTCTTTCCGGTCCATCGGCACTTGTTCCTCCTCTTCTTCTTGAATAGAAGATGAAGCATGCTTGTAGTTACTTCGATGTCTGACTTCAACGCTTCAGCTGGTATATTGTCAGGTCCTGCTGCTTTCCCGCTCTTGATTTGTCTGACGGCCATTCTGATTTCTTCTGTCGTTGGTGGATTGACATTTATAGGAAGATCTGTGTGTGCTGCTTCGATGTCCGGTGGATTCATTGGAGCCGGTCTGTTCAGGAGTTCCTCGAAGTACTCTGCCCATCTGTTGCGCTGTTGTTGAATCTCAGTGATTGGTCTTCCTTCTTTGTCTTTGACTGGTCTCTCTGGTTTACTGTATTTCCCTGCTAGCTTCTTCGTCGTATCGTAAAGCTGTCTCATATTTCCTTCTCTTGCTAGTTCTTCCACGTATTTTTGCTTATCAGCTCTAATGCTCTTCTTCACTTTCTTGTTTGCTTCTATGTACTCTGCTTGTGCTTGGACTTTCTCTGCTCTTGTTCGACTGTTGTTAATTGCTGTCTTCTTGTTCTTTCTTTCTTTGATCCTGTCCAGTGTTTCTGTAGAGATCCATTCCTTGTGATGATGTTTCTTGGGGCCCAGAACCTCTTGACACGTTGAAGTTAATGTTTCTTTGATACCTTTCCAGCTATCCTCCATAGTAGTTTCTTCTTCCTTCAGTAGATCCTGTAAGGCTTGGAACCTGTTGTTGAGAGCTACCTTGAATTCATTGAGTTTGTCAGTATCTCGAAGGAAGGCTGTATTGAACCTTTGTGGTGCTATTTGTCCAGTTGTCCAGTTCTTCTTTAGCTTCAGTTTCAATTTGGCCACAACTAGGTGATGATCTGAAGCTATATCCGCTCCTCTCCTGGTTTTCACATTTTCCATTGTCCTTCGGAACTTTTTATTGATGCAAATGTGATCTATCTGGTTCTCTGTGGTGTGGTCCGGTGAGATCCACGTAGCTTTGTGTATACGTTTGTGTGGAAATGTTGTACCGCCTATGACCAATTTATTGAATGCACACAGATTTGCAAATCTTTCCCCGTTTTCGTTTCTCTCTCCCAGTCCATGCAGTCCCATGATGTCTTCATATCCGGTGTTGTCCATTCCGACTTTGGCGTTTAGATCTCCCATCAGAATGGTGAGGTCCTTTCTTGGGCACTTCTCTATGATTGATTGCAGCCTCTCATAGAATTGATCCTTAACGTCGTCGTTGCTATCATTGGTGGGTGCATAACATTGGATAATGTTCATTGTGATACCCTCCTTCTTTGTTTTGAATGATGCTTTGATGATTCTGGATCCGTGAGATTCCCATCCTACAAGTGCATTTCGTGCTACTTTGGATAGCATTAGAGCAACTCCCTGAGTGTGTGGAGCATTTTCCTCTTCGTGACCGGAGTATAGCAGCATCTCTCCCGTATTTAGCCTTTGTTGTCCAGCTTGGGTCCAATGGGTTTCACTGATTCCCAGTACTGCCAAGTTGTATCTCCTCATTTCCGTTGCTATTTGACTGGTCTTCTGGGTTTCCCACATTGTCCGGACGTTCCATGTACCTATAAAAATTGTTGCTCTGGTTGTTAGAAGGGGCATCGGCCTCGTGGCTTCCGAAGGAACTCGGCTTTCACCATGAAGCGTCATATTACCTCTAACTCCCAGGGCAGGGTTTAAATGGTTCGAGTTATTTTTTCTGGTTAGCGTTTTTTTAGCGAGTTAGGTTTCTACGGGATGGGGACGCTAACCCCATGCCCAACCCTCCTCCTTTACCCGGGCTTGGGACCGGCAGTAACTCTGGAAGAGCTACAGGCGGAGTTATATAACGCAGTAATTATCCAAAATTTGGAACTTCATTAAAATGGATTGTTTGATAACTACAGATTTGAAGAGTTTCCATAAGTTTAGGAACCGAATGAAGGGAAACTATACATCAATGAAATGATGTATAATTAAGTACGATCCCAGTCAGAATTATAAATTTACAATGGTAATTATCAATGTTTAATATTTAATACTATGTAATACATAATGGAGGAGACAGTTGGGAGCAGTTAGCGGGAAACAACAAAATAGAGATAAACTTATATTATTCTACCTAAACTATTGCTCTCGTGTTATTCAAATTAATGAAGCTAGATATAATCGTGAGTTGTATATAAATAATCTGACTAGTTTCAAACACTTGTTAATAGTTATCTGTGCAAACTGAATATCAGTTGGTTGAACAATGATTATTTAAAGTCGTGTACAAACTTGATTAAAATAGATGACTGTCTTTAAATCTTCAACTTTAAATACCAAGTAAAGTCAAGATATTTCTAATAATAATATGCATTCTACTTCTGATTGGTGTTTTATATATATATATCAACATAAGTAGCATACACCATATATATGAAGTAATTACTTACCTGATTAAACTTTTTAAACTCTACTAATTCATTAAATATAACTTCTAAAATAATACGTGATGTCATTTTGTCTGTTGATAATTTCTGTGATACACCTAAAATATCACCGCATTCACGAATATAATATTCCAGGTCGTCCTCATTACCTAAGCATTATGAAAACCAGTAGACATTAAAATGAATATATATATATATATATATATATATATATATATATATATAACAATTTACTAAAGTTCATTAGAAATAAATTATAAACAGAGATAGATGGCGGCTAGCGGTAGAATCCAGGATGTGTGTTTCGCCCCGTTCGTGACTCGTCGGTTAGATATATTTGCATCTCAGACTTGGTGTCTAATCCGGGACTCAAACATTATAATGTTCTCTTATGAAAAATGATAGAAAACAACGTAAACTATTTAAAACAATCAATACCTTTAAATGAAACCGTCTGACGAAGGTGCAGTGGTAGTTTTAATAGGTCTGGAATATTTACGCCGATGAAATAACAGATTTGTTTTCATAATAATTGAGAAAAAAACTCGAAAACAACATTTTTTTTTCTGTTAATGATATATCTATGAATACAAAATTCATAGTGATTTCTTTTTTTGCTTCATGGTCGCAAATATAAAAATATTACAAATGTTTTATTTATACGTAACTGGAATTTTAAACAACGTTAAATAAAACTTTTTAATACCCTTGTTGTCGATGAAACTTTCTTGCACTTAAGGCTAATCTCATGTGATTCCAAGAAATATCGGATGAAATCACTCTAGAGTAGAATCATCATTAAGTTTATCAATAGGCAACCACTAACATAAAATTAATTTCAGTTTAGTATTTCATAGATTTTTGCATGAAAACCGACCTTACACAATATAGTAATTTAATTAATAAACTATTTCGAGTAAATTTCGTCAATAAAGGTGTTGTTATTGCTGACTTATGTATTTTTTCAATTTATAAAAAGTATTTATAAACTTACATTTATTTGTTACCTGAGCTAAACGTGCTTTGGATGTAGAAAATTGCTCGTCTAAATCAAATAATTCTAATGGTGGTGGACCAGGTTCACGGAAGTTAGGAGGAAATACCTAATATACATGAAAATGGAAGATGAATTTATTCAGTTTATAATCAGAATCAAGACAAATTTTAAAGAATTAGGCCTAGAATAATTTTCTTTCAGGAGATTTATGGATATTGTTGAGTTTTATAGTTAGTATTATGGGCTGAAGTTAGTTATATAAAGACTGAAAACCAGCAACAACTGGAAATCGGATCATTTTAGTATGAGACCATTTACTAGTAAGTCTCTATGATCTCAAAGTGGTTTGGGCAGTTAGCCATCAGAAGCATTAAAAAATGTTTTGTGTTATCTCGAAATGTTAATTTCTCAGACCACAACAGTTTTCCAAGTTTATGTTGCATGAATGTATGAAATACACAACTCAAAGACCTGTAAAACTCCATAGTACGCACAGTGGCATAAATGTAGTAAAAACTGTTACGAGACTAGAGTTCAGTAGTTCAAGGGAAATTAATAACAGTCGATACCTCCAATCGACCACTCCAATTAGGGTTATAATCTAGGGATCCTCATTTTGACATTCTGCTCAAATGCTTGCATCTCCCTAACATGACAGAGTTATCTGTTGACAACATGCCACAAATATATATCATGTTGACCCTCGTACCTCAATTTGTAAGTTACGGCTTATAGTCATCGTTCTGGCATTGCGCCTAATGTGCCTTGCAAACCTGGATACCTAAAAGAATATGCACGCTATATCTATCCACGTTTTAGATACAAAGAGTGTAAAGACTTTTGAAAAGGAAAGAATTAGCTAGTAAGCGTTATGTGCATACACGAAGTGCACATATAGGTATAGATCCCTATTACCGTAAGGACATGTTATCTACTTATATGCAGTGCACAGATCAAAGACTCAAATACTTCATGATTTACACAAAAGCACAACTACAGTCCACCGTTCCGCCTTGACATGGCACGTCAATAATATCACTAAATTGTTTAATAAGCTCTTCCGTAATCCAACTATACGGCAGAATGGAGGATTATTCCCGTTCCTATGGACCACCCACATTATTCCATGAAGCACGTCCGCACTACTTCCTAGACACCAAACAAAGATTAAGGTTGTATTCTGTCTATGTGAACAGCCTCATACTGAGATGAAACAACTATCCAGTACTGTCTGGTTCTCAACAGCTGATTAAACTAGGTAATTTTGTGATGTAAACTACAAAAACACGTTCTTCTAAGAACGTTTAAACATATTCTACTGAATGACTTAAATGGAAACAAAGTTTGTTGTCGGCACCTTTAAAATTATAGGGCTTTTGTCATCAAATTTTTGAAATAACAACTATATTTAGATTTAGTGAAACAAAACGCTAAAATGGCATTTTTAGGCAAAAATATCAACAAGTAGTGAATTATTACTACCAAGAGTGACCTCTAAACATTGCATGTGATTGACCGATACGTTTTAAGCCTCATAGGGTTTTCTGTATAAGTGCAGTTGTCCGTTAAATCATAGAAATATATGAAATAAAATGGTAAACTTTAAGTCATCATAAAAAAGACTACTAGATTGCTGATCACTGAAAAATACTTGAACACTATTAAACTCAAGAATGTTTACTCAGAGTAATAAATTCTACGGAGCTATTTGACTAATATTTGTGTGTATAGAAGAAATTTTTTTGGCGAATATCTGAAAAATTTGTTTTGTAACTTGATTTCATTTAATAAGCTGACTAAACAAAATCCATTAAAAGCTAGGGGGATACTAAATGGTTGTTATGTTCGCAAACTACACTTGACAACATAAACATTACGTATTTTGTAGAACTAAACCTTAAATCATCTGGTCCTGTAGTCATTACTTTATTGTAGAGCTCGTTTAGTTAAATTCAGTAGTTGAATTGTACCAACATTCACTTAATTTTGACTATCTTCCTCGTATTTATTCTTACTAGGATATTTTGTTAGTTCTAAATATTTCTATTTATTTGTATGAATTAAAAAAGACCTGCATTTTCAAGCATAACTACTAAGGAAGAGAAAGTTAATCAACAGTTAATCAACAGTTCTAAACACTTGATCGTATGAAAAGTAAGTTTTAGAATTCAAATAACAAATCCATAGTAATCGAAGAACCATAGCTTTTGGATTGTATTGTAGTAGCTTTGCAATAATACCAAGACCATCGGTGATATTTGAAATCTCGTAGAATTTTCTCAGCGAGTTCATGGCTTTTAAGTATATCAAGCTAACAATCAGTAGTTTGGTAAACCTTTATTTTATATTAGAATCAAGGGTAGTTATTGCTAGTTGTATATTTTTACTTTATCGATAAAATTATGAATATAAGTTTCTTCAAAGATCATTTTAAACAGATCTTACTGAAGTTAGACATCAGATAGGTTAAAATGCTTTGTCTTAAATTGGGATTCAGATATGTATACAAATATCATAAACCGAATTTCTCCACCCACAGAACAAAATATAAAGTGGTATTTTAAAGATGTATGACTTACTGCAGGTTGCACTGGAGGTAAAGGAGTTTCAAACTGCGGTGAAATTAAACTTAAGGGTTCGTGCTTCACACGGAGTTTTTCATAAGCCCTTTAAAAATGAAAAAAGACTGAGAATGTCCATAATTACTTAAAATAACTGATTATTAGAAAGATAAAAGGATGTCATCTCTACTTATTGTACTTACGGTATCCAATTTTATAGATACAGCTTTTGTATTAAGAGATAACATCTATGTGGAAATAAGTTTTTTGTTTCAAAATATAACTACTGCTAGCCCAAACGACTGATGTTATGTGGAAATTTATTTCATTTCATCGGCTTAACATGGTAAAATCACACTTTTTCCCATCTTTTGGTTACATAATGTTGAAACACACCCAGTGCGCGAGACTGGTGTAATCTAAGAATTCATTTTTTTATAAGTATTTGCAAGATCATTGAACAAACATAAAATGATGTCAACATAAATGTTCTGCAAGTTTAAATTTATAGACTTGAAAACTTACTGAATAGCTTTCGGTACGAGTCTCGTGTCCATACAAAACAAACCTTGGTCAAAGTAATTTTTAACATTCTGTGGAAGTTCATCACTTTCTTGTAAACAAGACATTAGGTTACTCGATAGGCTTATAATATCAGGGACTTGGTAGTATGTTTCAATTTCTGGTTCTTCAGAATCTATGGAGTTTAGAGTGACTGATTCTTCTGTAAGATATTTAAATAAAAACTCAAATATTTTAAAATTGTCTTCTTTGTTTATATACGGATCCGAGAACATGGCTGCGCTCCCAACAACAGCTAAAGTCCCACCGTTAGGTGACTAAGAAATAAATTTTGAAGCAAATACTCACGGGGAATTTGTAAACGGCACAAACGGGTCTATTAATTGGAAACGCAACACTTCCAGTTGACAGTAGAGCAACTGCGGGTTTGGCAACATTGAGAGAAGCTCCATAAGGATATAAGAATTGTAACGCCTGTTTGTGTGAAACATCCATTTGCGTAGCTGATATGGACGTCTTTCCCAAGGCTTCCGCTATTCCTCTATATGGTCAATAAAAACACGTTGAGAAATACCTATTTATTACTCCATTCGGGATTAACGCTTCTTTAGGATGATAATATTTAAAATATGACGTTCGTAGGACAGTATCTGCTAATAAACATTTCACCAATCAGCTTACCACTGTTAACCATGACCCCGAACTGCTCCAATAAGAAGTTTATGTTTGTAGTATATTTTGTCTCACCGTTCTCACCCATAAGAACAAGCAAAGATCCACCAGTCTCAAGATATTTTTTAATGGAATTAAACTCTGCAGCACTAAACTTTTCTGTGGGTCCAGATATAACGAACAACTTGAAAATGCTGAGACGTTCATGTGTAATGTCATCTTTATTTCTATATAACAATAGTAATGGAGATAACAAGGCAAACTACTTACATAACAACTTTCCAAGAGGATTTGAGGTACTTGGCAATTTCTGTGAAATGTTGACGCAGAGTAAAGGCTTCCTTTTTGGTTTCATTGAATACAACGGTATTCTCCCCAATCTTCATTTGTGTTGCCTCCGGCATCTTAAAATCTTTGAAACTGCACAATTCTGTTGCTAGGGTAAAAAGTGATTTACTCGGCATCCAATCCAATGTCCAATGTCTTTGTTACGAGCATGTATAAAATTTACTGTTTTCTTTACACTCATTTCTTGCTAATTTGGTACGGTTACATCTATTTAGTGGTATCTACTGAGTGTTACAACAGCCACTCAACTGCATTTATCCTAGCCAGTGTAGACTTCCTAAGACAAGCTATCGATGCGCAAGGCATCCGACCCCTTTGAACCAAAGTGGCGGCCATTATGGATTACCCAGAACCGACCACCATCAAGCAATTACGCACGTTTAACGGCCTTGTAAGTTTCTATAGATGGTTCATACCAAAATACGCGTCTCTTATGAAACCTCTTACCGACCAACTTCGTGGAAATGCGAAATCCATCAATCTGGATGACACCGCGCGAAAATCATTCTCCACAGTTAAGATACTTATCGCTCAAGCAACAATGCTTGCTCATCAGGACACTCAAGCACCCATTAGTATCACAGTAGACGCATCCGACTCAGCAATCTGAGGAGTCTTACAACAATCGGTTAACCACTCCTGGCAACCTTTGGCATTTTTCTCCAGACGGTTGCTAGACACTGAATCGAGGTACAGCCCATTCGTTAGGGAACTCCTAGCTATGTATTGTGCTGTACGGCATTTTCAACACTCTATCGAAGGCCGAGAACTCACCCTTTTTACTGACCATAAACCACTTACTTTCTCTTTAAGCTCTTCTTCAGACAAGTACTCACCTCGTGAGTCTCGACAACTGGACTACATTTCGCAGTTTACTTCAGATATTCAACACATCTCTGGAGCAAACAGTGTAGTCGCAGACGCCTTGTCTCGAATAACTTCCTTGAACAGTTTCCAAGGAATCGACCTTCTGAAACTCACCCAGCTTCAAAAACAAGACACTGATCTTCAGTACGAGTTGTCGTCAAGAGCCCTTAAACTGCTCATTAAACAGATGAGAACAGGTAAGGAAACCTTAATTTGTGACACATCTACAGGTAGGGATCGTGCCGAAAAATTATCGACGCAACGTCCTCAATACGTTGCACAAACTTTTTCATCCAGGTGTTCGTGCAACCATCAAGCTTATAGCAGAACGGTCTTGCTGGCCTGGTATGAATAAAGACGTGAGGGAGTGGACACGCTCCTATGTAAGCCGCCAGAAACCTAAGGTTATTAAACATGACAAATGTCTCTTAGGCTCATTTAAAACTCCCGATGCTCGCTTCGACCATGTTCATTTGGATTTAATAGGACCTTTACCAGACTCAAATGGATATTCCTATCTTCTAACCTGCGTAGACTGTTTTCCTCGATGGCCGGAAGCAGTACCCACCAAGGACATTACTACTGAAACAGTGGCCCGAGCCTTTGTCGAACGATGAGTAGCAAACTTCAGCTGCCCAACAACCATCACTACAGATCGTGGACGCCAGTTCGAATCTGAACTTTTCCGTTGTCTGACCGCAATATTAGGAATCACTCGCTTTCGAACGACGGCCTATCACCCACAAGCAAACGGTTTGGTAGAATGCTTTCACCGACAACTAAAAGTGTCACTACCAGCCGCAAACATTTCTCAGTGGACTGACGCTCTTCCACTCGTCTTACTAGGTGTACGCAATGCAGTGAAAGCGGACATTGGATACACAGAGTCTAAACTCGTTTATGGTACGACCCTTCGACTTCCAGGAGAATTCGTGGATCCTTCATCCTCCTTTATGAACATGGATCTAACCTCCTTCGCAAACAGGCTAACAAACGCAATGCGTTCAGTTAAACCTGTTTCCACTCGACCACAATCAACTGATGCTTTCGTTCAACCTGACGTACGATATAGTACACACGTCTTCGTACACCGAGACTCTCGTCGACGACCTCTCGAATCAGCATACGAAGGACCTTTTGAAGTTCTTCAACGCGAACCCAAGTACTATATAGTCGATAAAAACGGAACCAACGTTAGCATCAGCATCGATCGCCTCAAAGCAGTGTATTTAAAAGGAAATCCTATTCACGTCGATTTTCCTTCAGTACAATCGCACGACTCGACTCCAACACTTATAATACCTCAAACAACGGCCTACACAGACGATGATACTTCGACGGTATCAGAAAATAAACTTAAGACAACGCGTTCTGGATAAAGAGTAAGATTTCCAGAACATTTGAACGGTTACTGCACGTAAGATACAAGCTTTCATTTTATATAGTCTCGATTTTCCCTTGTACTATATATAATTTAAGAAAAAAACCCAATTTTAATATGCTTATATATTTTTATTTTTATTTCAAAACAAAACAAAAAACCATATTATAAAAATCCTTCTTTTACGCTATTACGTGTGTGTGAGTTTGTTTTCCATTTTTTCGCCCGCTTTGTGTTTTTACGCGCGTACGAGTGTATTTCGACATGCACTTACATATCTATTTTTCTTTTCCAGGACGGCTGGAAAAGAACGGTGAAGTTTACGAGGAACCGAAATTTTCATCGTACTTTTTCATTTTTTACTACATTGCACTTCATGGTCCCTTATAGTAAGGAGAGACAACCAGACGCTGCTAAGCACAGCAAGCTATTAGAAAAGTGTTTACCAACGACAAACTCGTTGGGTTTAAAATTCTGGCTGGCCATGTCTTAGGGTCATCACTTCCCACTAGAGGGAAGAGAGTGATCTGTAGCGGTAAACAAATCCTCAAAATAAATAGCTCTAAGTTTTCGACATTGGATGCTGACCACATTAGTTATAATGGACTCATCTAGCTGGAGGTGCTCGGTCATGCATCCGCAACAGATCACGTGTGGGAACGCCGTGTTCAACATCTACTGCAATCGCTAGCCAGATTAGATCAGACGATCCTCGATATATTGGTTGCCCATCAAATATATCTTCGAACCTCCTCGCTTCCGTCTTTTGATTTCACTTGGTGGGTACGCTTCATATTAGGTGTTACTGGTTGAAGCGTTGTCAAACTTCGAATATCTGTGGCATCTTCAGTTTCTTGTGGATTCGTCCACTTTGTCATTCGTGTGTGTTTATCTTAGAGCAGTAGGGTTTCTGGATACCAGCATCCATCGCATTACCAGGCAGGAGTTTGATTGGTTGTAAGGTAAAGATAATATAGTGATGATTCAAGTGCTAAGAAAAGACAACTGTTTCAAGAATAAATAAATTATCTGTATCATTGGTTATGTGTAAGAAGTCGGAGTTAAAAGGGTAAGAAGGAAACGGTGAGAGATGGGAAGTAGTTGTCGGTGTTGCAGTAGTGATAATCTCAGTAATTTATGAGATATACATTGGAAACAACTGGTTCAAGAGGGATGAATAAGTTTGAAGGTATACATGGAAAGTTGAAGAGTGTTTAATCTATGCTGGTCAGTAGTTTCAAGGAAGGAGTAGCACGGCGTATCCAACCGTGATCTGTTTCAAATGAGTGAATGAGTATCCTCAGGTAGGTGAATCCACCAAATATTATGCGGTCAGCATCAAATGTAGAAGACTTGCAGAACTAGTTATTTTGGGAATTTATTTACCGCTACAGGGTTCTAGAACCACCTGACTGGTCCACAAGGCCTTCATGTCCATTATTCTTATGATATTTACATTTTGATCGATAGTATTTTTTTTATCATTACAAGGGTATTGCTACCTTTTTAAAGGAGGCCAAGAGCTTTTGGAAGGGTAAGATGTTACGCACTTCAATTATCATTGGATCAGGGATGAAGACAGAGAATACAGTGGATTCACTTTAAAGTAATAAATCAAAATTTGGAATTCCAAGATTAGGTATTTACAAAACAATTATTATATTATACAGATTTTGCATAGGCTTTTCAATAGCTGGATACAGTTTGGTACTTATGATCTCATAGATTTCACTTGACAAGAGATGATCTGGATAAGTTTATTCTTTTTATAAAACAAGAAAAGAGAACTTTATCGTGATCTTAAAACTGCATAATGAAAAATCGCGATTTTTAGAAGCGCTCCATGGAATGAGGAAAAGAGTAAAAAACCTGCTAGTTTATACCAGCCATCTAATGTTGTTGACCTTTAGGGTAGTGAAAACACCGCACACTTTGGTTATCATGTCAGTTTCTGTTGTTGGGATTTCCGACCACGCTACATTAATTCATGGAAAACGAAACACTGTGAGTTTAATACCTATTGGGAATACAACATGTTAAAAATATTGGACAGAACCAAAACGATGCGATTTTTTGTGAAATATTCAAAGTCTGAGTGACTTAATTCAATCAAACATTTTGCTTGATTGCAGCGAATTTCATTAGTTTAAGGAGAAGTCAAAAAAGGAGGGCAAGCCTTTAAAGTAATTGAGTGAGATACGGACAAATGGTTTATGAATGAACTAAATATGAATAGAGTTTGAAAAGTTAAATGAAGCGACATCGTCTGTCTTTCTTATTAAAACAGATCACCAAAAACTTTTAACCATCAGATTCTGAACATTGGTCGGTTTTTCTTGAAATGTTGTATATTCTGATCAGGCTTTAAACTAGGATTGATCTCATGAACAAACACCATCTCTTGACAAAATACCACCTAGCCTTTCGTTTAGTAATTCTTCAACCTGTAAAATATACCAAAGTTGCTAATGATCTTTTATGGTTACCTTAGTTGTTGACTGGTTACTGCTTAATCAAATTTACTGGTGAAATAACCTTCAGCATTACTAGCTGACGAAATAAAATAATATTCAGATGTTTTCAAAATGTACTGTATAAGTCAAGATAGTGCCAGTATTTGAAGAAAGAGGAAAAACTCGAGTATATGGATTGGGTTGTTTACGGAAAAAGACAGCTCTACATAATTTAAAGTAATAAGTTGCACTGCTTACTTAAAACCATGAACGTCATATCACTATTTCTCACACGATAATTTTAATGATATTTTGCAACATTTTTCCTGCATAAACTGTGTTTTCCATCAATACCACTTTCGTTGAAAATATCAAGGATGATGAGATAGTTCTTTTGTCTTGATCTTTCCTTTAACTG